GCCTTGCTTATTGAATTCCGGTATGAACAGCTTCCCTTAAGTCCGAATTACCCACTTGATTGTTGCTTGTTGAGTTTTAATTGGTTGAATTGATACCCCTGGTTGTCCGAAAATTTTGTGAAAATAGGAGGAAATTTGGTAGCCTTAAAACATGTGTTTTAAGCTTGATTAAGTAGAATTTAGCTTGAATTGGGTTGTGGTGATTTTGGAGTGAAATCCCGTGAATTAGCTATGTTTGCCAATTTTGGAAGTTGAGGTTACTGTTCACGGGTACTGTTCATGGGTACTGTTCATAGGCACTGTTCACACACCGAGGGTTAACGATTAGCGGAGATTTAAAGGTTTAGGTTGTGATATAAGAATGAATTTGGAGATGTCCGATTATGTGGAGATTGATAGAAATAGCACCGTGATTAGGGGTAGTGTTAAAGATGATTTTACTTTGGATTTTGTGGTAGTGCGGTATTAACTTCGGAATACTGTGATTAGGTTTTGATCGTTCTGTCGCCATAGCACTTGGGTTAGCCTTCTGTTCTGTGCGAGTGAGGTAAGTAAATCTATGGTAATACTCGTACAGTTTTTAAAAGCATGTTTTGATTTGTTTTGAAGTGGTGGCGGGACTAAACTCGTTTTACACAAGTATGACTGATTTGAAGTGGACTTTTTATGTTTTTCATTAAATTGAGCATGCCTACTTGGAATTTAATTGATTGTCCTGATGATCTGAAAGTGATTGGTGAATTATGATTTTTCTGTTAACTTCAGCCTGTTTTGTCTCCGAGGTGGTTATGTTATTGATGAACTGAGAGTTCTGTAAATTTTGAGTTTTTCTGTTAAATCCATTCTCACATGGAAATTTTCCGATTTATTTCTGAAATTGGAGATTGATTGTGAATTTGGGATTTCGATTGTGAATTGCGGATTTCGACTGTGAATTATGGATTTCTTTTGTAAATCCTGCATGGTTTTGTCTCTGATATGGTCATGACTTCCGATCCCCGCTAGTGGGTGTAACGTTAGCACTTCCGATCCCCGCTAGTGGGTGTAACGTTAGCACTTCCGATCCCCGCTAGTGGGTGTAACGTTAGCACTTCCGATCCCCGCTAATGGGTGTAACGCTAGTACATGTCGACATGTTTACTGATATGACTGGTTTATTTTGACACCTGCCACTGGGCGAATACATTGGCACATTTCTGTCGCCTGCCAGTGGGTTGTTATAACACTGGCCATGACTTATAGATGAGACTATTGAACTGAGTTTTCTTCTGCATTAACGGTTTGTCAGGAAACGTTTTGTTATTGAACTGAATTTGATTTTGCATTGACGATTTTGTCATTGAACGTTTTGCTATTGAACCGAATTTGATTTCCGCATTAACGGTTTATCAGTGAAAGTTTTGTTATACTTACATGGTTTATCTGGCATGCTTAAAAGTTTTACCCAAGGGCTATCCATATTTACTTACTGAGTTATTTCATAGTTTTCCTTGTCCACCATTTCAAGAAGCGATACCGAGGACGAGGAAACCAAGGGGAGTGACGAGTTAGAAGGCTAGCCACCTGTAATTTGAATATGGATTTTAGATATAAATGATGATATTGTAAGCTAGATTGTGATTGGAGATTTTATGATATCAGAGAAGTTTCAAAATTTGATCTTCAGATTTTTGTGGTATCAGTTGTGAATTGGATAAGTTCCGAGCCTTGTGCATTTGTAGGACTCACTCACGAGTGCACGGCGTCTGTCGTGCCTCGAATTCGGGTTTTGGGGCGTGACATTCTATTTAAGAATTTATTAGATGATAATGTTCACTTAACAAACAAAATTTTAAAAAAGATTAACATCTTTAAATAAAAAAATTAAAAATTGATATTTTTAATTAAAAATGTTAATTTTTAAATTTTTTTGTTTAAAAATTAATTAGATGATAATGTTCACTTAACAAACAAAATTTTAAAAAAGATTAACATCTTTAAATAAAAAATTAAAAATTGATATTCTTAAATAAAAACATTGAAAATTAGTATTTTTGAATAAAAAATAAAAAATAAATATATTTAAATAAAAAAAATTAAAAATTAATATTTTTATTTAAAAA